TATAGGAATATTGCTTATATATATATATATATATATATATATATATATATATATATATATCTCTCTCTCTCTCTCTCTCTCTCTCTCTCTCTCTCTCTCTCTCTCTCTCTCTCTCTCTCTCTCTCTCTCTTTCTAAGCTGCCTCCCACGGCCGTGCGCGGTGGTTCAAACGCCCAACTCCAGCACGTGGTAGGCACCTGTGCTTGAGTCCCAACTCCCAAAGGCGACTGGTTGTTTGACCCGGCATTGGCCAGCTGGTGCAGGTGAAACAGTCCCCGCCGTTATACGGTGTCACCATGCCAAAGCATTGGATGCCACGAAAAAGGCTCCCCTGAACCGATACAGGCAAAATCGTCTGCCCAACCCCAGTACGACAGACACAATACGACCAAGGTAGCAGTCTCAAACTAAAGGCTTATACATTTTCGCGAACCGCTGATATGTATGCTGTAGCTCAGCATAAGCAGCGATCACTAAACATAAAGGAAGGCAACATTATTCTTCTTTTAAACGTTTGCTAGTGTGTGATCAGCAAACTTCGCTGCTTGTCGCAATCTTCTGGTGAACACAGAGCGCGGAATCGTAACATCTAGGCAAACACATTGCGCGCACTTTACTGCACGTGCAGCTCATGGCATCGCATTGCTTTGCCCCTACCCAGCACCCGGACCAGATGAACCCCTGTCCCTGTAACCAGAGCTGTTCACGAAATGCCTCCCGCAAACTAATGGCTTTCTGATCGTCGTTGTTGGCCGCAGTGGCAGCCGGACATGCCCGAACGTGCCTTAAATCGGCATTATCCTAAAGACCTAGGATGTGTTCGCTACGCGCCAATAATGTTCTATTATACGTGACGTCACGTAAAATCTTTGCACGGCGTGCTCGAGAAGCAATAAGCTTTCTGTTTGCATCTTCGCAACTTTCATAACAATTATTATGCGTGCGAGACACTAACTTTATATTCGCACGCACTGCACGTGGTTCTAACAATTGTAAACTGCAAAGTGTGTTGTTTGTAACATGTACCACAACTTTTCATCAGCAATGGTCGGCCCTGGACGCGTAAAATGAATGGTTTATAGCTGAACATGCTGTGCCATTTCTGTCACACTGCGGCTGGGAAACGGGAAAAGGTGTTGCACACCTGGCAAAAATTATACGCGACGTTATGCAGAATCTTTGACGTCTAGGTCGCTGCAAACACTAAAAAGCGAGGGATCTATCAGCTATGACGTCATAAATGACGACGGCATAGGTCATCCGGGTCGTCGCAAATGCAGCCGCACTCTCTGGTGAATCCCTTTCATTGGATCATGCATTGAAACGGCTGAGAGCCGCACATGGCCGACGCGCAGGGAGTAGGTGGAATTATTTATATCCTATAAAGCGGAAGCGCAGTGCATAGCGCTGGTTAGTGAGCGAAAGTGACATAAAACGGTCACACGTCATTTATGCGAGGTATGGTAAGCTTAGCTCGCAGCGTTTAATGATTTTCTCGCGTTTCGTCAAATGTTTAAGCGATATGTCGGCCAGGCAAATAGCGTATCACGTGTACAACTGAGAAGTAGCTTTCCATAGGTCTATGTGTTTAACATGCGCCATGCTGCCGGTTGAACACCGTTCGCTCGGGTGGGTAGGGGTCAGTTTGACCCCCGATATCTCAAAACCATATGAGGTAAAGACACCATATTCACAGGATAGGATGACCCTTTTTAGTTTTAGAGGGCTTTAGGTTCTTTGATATTTTTAAGTGCGTAAGTCATGACCTCCCGGTCAAATAAGATCAAACAAGATCAGACTCCAGATTGGTGTTCAAAGCGCCCCCGGACCACTCCATGCAAGCGCCTTGAATCTAGATACCTGTTCTACGCAAAAGTTGACTGGTGCTCATTCAAGGTCAGTGACCTGTTTTACCTTTAAATGGTGACCAAAAATCCTACGAAATTGTTTTGAATTTTTGCAGTTGAATAGACTTCAAGCATTACGCTAGGCGGTATGCTACTAAAAACCGAATGTCGAGTTAGGCCGTTTTCAGCCAGTAGCCTACTCTGATCTTTCAGAAGTCCTTGGAAGATGTTTGCTGCGGCCCTGTTGTTTAAAATTCAAAATAATCACCAGAAACTACCGCATACGGCAAGGTCTAGCGTAAAAAAACGGGCTGCGTTTGACCTGGGTCTGCTCCTGCGCGCATGCCTCCACGTCAATGGAATTTGTGTAGCTCTGCATCTCATTGCGCTAGTGAGTCAGAAACAGATCCAGAACAGTGAAACAGTGAAAAAGATCCGTCTTTCAACTACCTGCTGTTATGGAATGTTTGGTGCGGCTACGCTGCACCGTTCAAAAATTATTGTGCAAAAACCCTCGCCAGATCAAAGTGGCCCCCACCCGGGCGTACGTTAGGATATTATGCACAAACAAGTGTAGTCGACCTAGTCCATGAACAATCTTTATGAACTGTTTTCGACAGTTCAAAATAACACTATAAGCTTGAAAGGGAGTGCTCTGCATTTTAGTGAAACAGCCATTTTGAAGATTATTTGGAGCAGTTTGGAGCCCTGCCCTTCCTAAAACTCAAAACTCTACTATTTCTGAGCTTGACACCCGCAAGCTTGCACAGACTGCTTTGTGCGGACTGTTTAAGGGTTGCCCAGGTATGTATGACACCACAGAAACGTCACACAAATATTACTATCCCAGTTGCGATGCGGTGCCCTATGGGAATATAAACTTAATGGTAGAAATGTGTTTGCGTGGCGCAGATAAGGCGGATTTCTGGAAATAAGACTAGGAATCGAATAATTTATGGATAACTCGATAACTGAGCATGTCAATGCAGGGAAACAATATAAAATCACGGAGTGATATGCCATAATATCACGAGAAAGAGTAGGTCGCGTGATGTCGCCAATATAACTGCTTGCATTCATCATCTCTAGCTTGATATCGATAATAGCTCTCTATTCTTAAGTATCGATTCTTCTTGCATCGACATGCATGTTTCTCATGTGCACTTTGTTTAGCTATGAACAACAGGGTGTTTTTGTCTTCTTTCAAAAGAAGACTCTTTCGTGTTCAGATGTAAGTACCACTGCCTAGCACTCAGCGCGAGCCCGTCGCGAGAAGTGTTCCCGTCGCTATGGAATTTCAATTTTTGCTGTGTACCCTATCCATCTCGAACTTCATGAACCATTGCTAAAGAGACTGCGGGCAGGCAGACAGAAAAACCAATGCTATATACACAAACAGAAGGGAGCTTTGGGTACTAGTCACATGAAGTTTGCCTCAAAATTAGCCCAATGATTTGCTGTTTATGCGTAGCATGCGGTGCTGCGATTTACATTACGAAGCGATTTTCTCCAACGTGGTTCGAGGAAACTGGCTAGTGAACTGGGCAACAAGGTATGCATGCTTTAAGCGCCTTGAAAAGAAACCAGGCGTAACTTGAGCCCAAGAAAGTGAAGGGAGCAGAGGCATTGCTAGCCTTCAAAGTTGAAGTGTTTGGCCCTCCCTGCTCCTTCACTTTATAAGATGCCCGTTTGATACCAGTCAGCATTGCGTGCATATCAGAAACTTCTATTTATTTTACACGTTTTAAGCCTCAGTCGGGGCCACGGAAGAAAGTGCGATTGCAAATGGATATGACACTTCGTATCCACAGAGCACGCACCATCCATACTTCCGCGACTTCCAGGTAAGGAGATGAACGTGGTTGCAGAGGGTACATTTGGGCTCACCCAGCCTGTGATCTCCCCGACGGGAGGTGAGCTCCCCATGATGACCGAGGGGGCTGTGGTGGCTGAGGCAACGAACCTAGCGGAGCCGCCCATCTTGTCTGCAACGTGCCATGACGTGTTCAATCAAAGGTACGAGCGTTGCACCGGTTCCACCGCGTGGTTCCTGGCGAAGGAGGCCTTTCACTCGACCCGAGACAGCACCATCGACTGAGGCCCGCGAGAACCTGAGGGGCCTCGGTCGCCCGTATGGCGAGAGTGGGACGAGCGACGACCCGGTTTGACCCTGTGGTCCGAATTACACCTTGTCTTGAACGTGTTCCCTTTTTTGGCCTGGCTGTAGGCCTGGTCTGGCCTGGTCTGGGAGATACGTACCTCTAGTGAAATTTGACGACCATGCCAAGATCGTTATCTACACGAAATTACCCACGCTGTGTCGCTTTTACAGGATAAACCTATACTTGTAGTGAATGATACAGATATAACATGGAAGTAGTTCTTACGATATTGCAAACGTAGTGTGTGAGAGTCGGCTCAAGGGCTCGAAAAGAAGGATTTTCCAGTGGTGTGAAATTAATCATGTATCTCCAAAGCAGGAATGTAAGAGATAGTTTTAGTTGCCTGAATACCAGTTTTCATAATTAAAACAATGTGAACATCAACAACTGACATATACAATGACAAGGGCATGTTCAGGTTTTACAAAAGGTGGTGCACAGGACCTAGTTTCAAGCCAGTGAGCGGGACATTCCGCCGCTTCCCGGGGTCTACTGACCCAGACGTGGTCGGCGCGGCGCCGTTGGCCCCAGCCGCTACCGCTGGCGGCGCTCCGCCAATCAGCGGTCGGCTCGGCGAGACCGCCGCCGATGACCGGCCGGCGCGGCGGCGACGCGCCCCGGCCGGCCCACAGACGGTCGCCGGCCGCCGCGCCACCGCTGACCACGCACGCGGCGCCGCACGCCGACCCCGCGCGCCCAGCCGCCCACGCAGAGGCCGTCCCGCCGCGGTATCGCGCGCTGCTCAGATCGTCAGGCGCGCTGGTTCGGAGCGCTGCCAGGTGTAGCGTGCGTCGCCGCTGCCTCCGCCGGACGCGGTGCGCCAGAGGTGCTTCTGTGAGCGGGAGGGGTGTGCGCAGCGGGTCCGCGCCGAACCGTGCGCCGCCGCCGCCGGTCGCCCTGGATCATGCACCGGGCCGGCTGAGGCCGCGGCCGCGATGAGTGCCAGCGACGAGCCGTGCGGCGCGCGCCGGTCCGACTGGCGGGCGCGCCTGCTGACGGCGCTGCTGACCTGGCTGCTGCTCACGGAACCGTCAGCGCGGGCCTGCGCGCCCGGCCGCGGACACTACCGGCGCCGCGCGCCGCGCAAGCTCACGCCGCTCGTGTTCAAGCAGTACGTGCCGAACGTCAGCGAGCAGACGCTGGGCGCGTCCGGCCTGCCCCAAGGCGCCATCAGCCGCGACGACCCGCGCTTCCTGCAGCTGGTGCCCAGCTACAGCGAGGACATCGTCTTCAAGGACGAGGAGGGCACCGGGGAAGACCGCGTGATGTCGCAGGTAAGTCCGCGTCGGCCGACAGCGGCCAGCGGCGCACGGAACCGACAGAGGCGAGAAATGTTCGGGCCCGCCAAGTTGACTCTGATGTCGACTCGTGGTGCATGAAGCCGATTCTGAGTCATCCAGACGCTGCCGTGCTCATCGCATTGAACTCCGTTTCGATCTATTTCGGTGTCGATAACAAATTGCCTGCACACTTTAATGGCACACTTCATAAACAGACTAGTGTATGGGCTACTTTCTATCAATATTTCAGCACGGCGAGAGAAAAGAAAACGTTTCGTTTACTTATCGAGTAATCTGCTGTAATCAGCGGGCTCGTCAGCGCCTCCTTTTAAAGTTATGGCATTACATTCTTCGAACACTTCTACGTATGTAAGTTTTTCAAATAGATAACTTTCGAAATTAGACTGATTCTTGGATCAGTTCCAACTCAACCTTATGTCAAGACAATCGCGACGGTCACTTCGGGGATTTTGAGGTCCCCCTGCCCGCCGCCAGGCTGGCCAGTCTCCAAGCTCGCTCTGTCCCTGCTCTGCCCGGTGTCAGCCTGGTCAGCCGCCGGCGGCCGGTGTCTGAGGTGACGCCCGGGCCACCTGCGGCCGGCCGCTGTCCACCCCGCCGCCTCAGGTGCGCGGCTATCGGAGGCAGACCTCTCGAGTGCGGCGCGCCGCCAGTGGACGCCGTATCGGACCCGGCGAGTGCACCTCGGGCGGTGTTTACCGGCCGATAGGGCCCGCGGCCCGCTCACACCCGGCCGCCGCTATCGCTGTGCAGGCGGCCGACCGGCGCGCTTTGATATCTCAGCTCTCCACGTGTCTTCTGGCAACGGAACCACCGGAGTCCAACCGTTCTCAGAGCCAAGCGGTTACCCACAGGCCGATCGTGGCCTGCCTCTTCTTGCTAATGTGGATGAATGACGCATAAAAAGGCTACTGACGTTATTGGGCATCGCAGCCAGCCGAAATTAAGATTATTCCGCCTGAAAAGACTGAAAGGGGTAGTGCAAATGAATGCGGCGAAAGTTTGGCCTGCTGCTCCGTGCTAGCGGTGGCTTCCGGTGGCACGACACCTGCTGTAACCGGAGCCGGCGACAGGGCTGCGCAGGCCCGGCCGCCGCACGCCGGGGTCCAGGCGACAGCGTGTGAATCGGCCCCGGCCCCGGGCCCCGGCCCCGGGCCCCGGCCCCGGGCCCCGGCCCCGGGCCGACACTGACTCCAGGTCAGCCGTCTGATGTGCAGACCCGGGGGCTGGTCAGATGCTCGGACCCGGACCCGGACCCGGACCCGGACCCGGTCAGGGTCAGAGCCCGGACCCGGGTCAGGTCAGCGGTCTGAAGTCCGGCCTCCGGCTGACGTCAGCCAGCGTCGGTCATCTTCCGGCGAGCATCTGTATCTGGTCATCTTCCGGCGAACAGATAAAGCTCGGAAGGATATCGGGTGACTGTGACGGAAGCCGTGTAACTGTGACACCTATCAGTTGAAGTCTGCTATCCTATAGTCGAGTCGCTCGGGCCGATAAAGCTGACATCTGTAGACTGGGCTGAGCTGTTTTCCACCACCAATCTCAAGGACGGGTCACACGGACAGCACCGTCACTCTCACGTCAGAACGGAGAATGGTGCGGTGAGCGGGCGATCCAGTGCGGTTCCGGAGCTCACCAGAGCGCTGTTGGACAGATACCTTTTTTGGTTGGTCAGGTTCGTGTTCACATTATGCGTATGTTCGCTTCATATCCACATTTTACACATTGGTTCTTCTTTGCAACTGCGTGAAAGCCACAAAGAGGAGAGCTCTAAAGCCATGTGTGTTTTTTTCTACAAAACTAAGAATAACAAAAGCTCGAAATTTAATAGTGCAGCTGATATTGTTCAAATTGAGAGCGGTTACAACATTGATGGTACACTGTGTATTCGCATTTAGTTAAAAAGTACCCAACATTATATCTCCAACGATAAAGGAGCTGTGCACCAAATACTTGGCTGAATATACAGCATTTCAGTTTGCGTGAGCATTTTGGTCTAGTCTCCATAAATATATATATATATATATATATATATATATATATATATATATATATATATGTGTGTGTGTGTGTGTGTGTGTGTTTAGCTGCAGCCCCTGCGCCTGTTCAGACTGGAAACATCTGTGTGAGAGCAACGGTATATCTGTCCGAGAAGCCCCGAGCTGCCTCCGACCCTCCGGTGACTTCTATATTTCCCTATCAGTGAGAAAAGTCGGGAAGCTGCATCCACGCAGTTGACTGATAGCAGTAATTGCGCAGCGGTCGTGTTTGCCCAGGTATAGCGCGGCAGAGCACGATCGTAACAGGTGCGCCGTGTTTGCCGACATTGCGTCACCCGTACGGCTATGTGCCCCGTCATTACACGTGTTTGCGCCCGCCTTACTGCTGCAAACGAAGCGAACCCGCCAGATGGCTATTTCCGCTTATTTGCAGCATTTTTTCGTGACATTTTTTCCTTCAGCGAGCTTTCATAACGTCAATGAAGACAAATTATGTGCTCAACACATTTTCCATGCTTTCGCTCCCGGCCCGACTGACCAGCAGTTCACGGCTGCGAGAAACGCCACGGAGCGCGACGGCGAGACACATTCCGCTGCGGATATGCCGCGGCTGCAGCGGTGGCCGGTCCTGCCGTGGTGCCCCCGTGTCCGCTGTCCTGGGCTCAGCACGCTGTTGTGGACCACAAAGGCGTGTTTGCTCACCGCTCAGATCGCTTTGTCGGCGGCGGTCGCCCTTCCGCTCGGGCTGTTGGCGGCGGTCGCACAGTGTTTGGACGCGGGCGTGAGGTCCAGCCTCCACGCGCCGCCCGCGGTGGCCATGGCCACCTGTTTGGACGGCCGCCGCTGTGCTGGACCTGGCGCGTGAGAGAGCCGCGCGGCGGAGGCGAGCCGCTGCCGGCAGAGGCCGGCGCTGGTGACGATGCCAGCTCGGCCTGACCACGCTGCCGCTCCGGGACCGGCTCGGCTCAGCGTCCCGGATCCAGGTCCAGGCTCCAGATCCAGACTCCAGATCCAGGCTCCAGTTCGCGGCGTTTGTTCGGGTCCGAGTGGTCGGGTGATCCGTCCATGTGAGGGAGAGGGTCAAGTCACGTGCCTCCCATTCACTCCAGCGAAATAACGCGCCAGTGCTAAGACATTCCAGTGGGAGAGGCATTCCCCTGGTGGTGTTGAGAAGAGGGCGGCGCCGACTGTGCGTGTGGTGGGCCGGCTGAACGCTGCGCCCCACTGACCCCGACAGATCAGACGTGCCTGATGTCGAGCTGCGCCTCTACTGCTTCGAAGCAGTCGTGCTGGCCCACCTTTTAAAGGTTCAGACTACGCGTGGCGTCCTAGTGACCAGTCCAAGAAGAAGTTAAGTTTTCAGTGACAGACCACAATGACTCGCGGCTAATCAATGGTCATATCTCACCAGTGCTCGCACCATGGACCTGCTGCAAAACAAGCAAAAGTAAAGTAGCAAAACAGCTCAGCTCAAAACACCTGCAAAGAAGCACAACAGCTCGCACTCCGCGGCCTGCGAGACACCTGCGGCCGCACACCGGCCCCTCGGGCAGCTTTGTGCTCCAGAGCTCGGAGGTGTTGCTCCAGCCGAGGGCGGCCGGAAACGGCAGACCGGGGTCGCCGGCTCACGCGGCGCTCGCGCTCGTACCGCCGGGGAACCTGACACCGGGATGGGCCCACTGGCTCGTGACGAGGCGGCGACAGGTGTGAGGCTGGCCCACGGCACCCGCAGTCAAGGGGCTGCAGGCCGAAGGGTAGGAGGGGGTACCAGCAGTCCTCCCCACTGATGAACGAGCAGGGCTATACATGTCACTTTGGGGGGGGGGGGAGTTTGCCATCCGGTGAATGAAGCCAGAAGCAACAAATGCGGAATTCGACGAAAAATGTCGCAGGTGGTTTTGATCCCGTTAAGGGCAGCAGTGTTACAAGATAATGGCATGACAATGCAGGAATGGGGAACCACCCGGGAAACTAGGAAAACTACTCGGCCGATGGCACTGCAGGCGAATGACGTATAAAACTTGCCGTTTTCCGCAAACACACCGAAGCTCACGCGCGGCTCCGGTTTTGTCCCCATGGAGTTAGCTAGGGAGTACTCTGAAGGTCGACTGTGACATTCTCAGGCTCAACCTCAGGTCATGATGAGTCTATGATGGTACCGCTGGACGTTACATTAGTATGTGCCGAAGGTATCGGGCCGTGCACTGGTCTTTGTCGTAGCCTCCGGGTGGTGTACTGGTCTGTGCCGTAGCTGCCGGGTGGTGTACTGGTCTGTGCCGTGGCCGCCGGGTAGTGACTGGTCTGTGCCGTGGCCGCCGGGTGGTGTACTGGTCTGTGCTGTGGCCGCCGGGTGGTGTACTGGCCTGTGCCGTAGCCGCCGGGTGGTGTACTGGTCTGTGCCGTGGCCGCCGGGTGATGTACTGGCCTGTGCCGTGGCCGCCGGGTAGTGACTGGCCTGTGCCGTGGCCGCCGGGTAGTGTACTGGTCTGTGCCGTGGCCGCCGGGTGGTGTACTGGTCTGTGCCGTGGCCGCTGGGTGGGTGCCGCACTGGTCTGTGCCGTGGCCGCTGGGCGGGTGCCGTACTGGCCTGTGCCGTGGCCGCCGGGTGGTGTACTGGTCTGTGCCGTGGCCGCTGGGTGGGTGCCGCACTGGTCTGTGCCGTGACCGCCGGGTGGTGTACTGGTCTGTGCCGTGGCCGCTGGGCGGGTGCCGTACTGGCCTGTGCCGTGGCCGCCGGGTGGTGTACTGGTCTGTGCCGTGGCCGCTGGGTGGGTGCCGTACTGGCCGCTGCAGCCGCCTCGCTATCTGCCGCCGTCGTCAGGCCCGCTATCAGCTGCTCAACCGAGCGATACTGGCTCTGGCCGACAGCCGGCCGGCTTCCCGCACTCACGTGCAGTGTGCACCTTGTCGCGGCGGCACGCGCACAGCCACCCTGCCCTGGCACCAGGGCTGCTGCCGTCTGACTGTCATCGGAAT